ATTTTGTGTTAGGGATTTGTTGGACTTGAGATTTTCTTGGTCGATGACTGTATATCCTCCACAGAGTCTTCAACAACTGAGATTCTCTCTTCCTTCCCTTGAATTCTATTGGTTATACTCACATCTTTAGTTCCTGATCCTTTATACAGCCTTTCTATTTCCAGCATCCCCTCATTGTGTGCTTTCTTTATTGTGTCTATTTCAGCTTTCATGCCTTCAACTCTTTCGAGTGCTTCCTTCACTTGTTTGGTTGTTTTTTCTTGGCTTTCTTTAGATTCTATAAGAGATTTGTTTACTTCTTGAATTTTTTGGTTTGTCTTTTCCTCCATCTCATGTAATATTTTGCTTGTTTTTTTCTTCTATTTCTTTAAGTGATTTTCTTGTTTCCTTTTTAAAGACCTCTATCATCTTCATAAGATAATTTTTGAGGTCCATCTCTTCTTCATCCTCGTTGGGCTTTTCAGTTCTTGCTGGTGTGGAGTCCCTAGATTCTGCTGGTGTCATATTGGTCTTTCTGTTGTTAAGTGTGTTCTTATTCTGTTGTCTTCCCATCCCTTCTTTTCTGTTGTTGAGTGTGTTCTTATTCTGTCTTCTTCCCATCCCTTCTTCCAGTGAGGGCAGGTGGTGTCTCTCCCTCTCTCTGGTGGCAGGCGGAGGGCAGAGGGTGGTGGGTGGACAAGGGTGGGGTGTGTCTGGACTCAGGGTGCGCCTTCCCAGTCAGGGCAGGTCCATTCTTGCCTGGGTGGGCTCAGGCAGAAGCAAGCAGGGGTTGATGGGGGAGGTTGAGGAGCAGAGCAGCGCCCAGACTCACCTGAGGCTTGGGTGCCCAATGCAGGACAGAGCGATAAATATTATTAAGACTTGACAAATGTATGCATAAGGAAAAGTTTTTGACCCACTATTGAAAACATTACTTGTTGTCAAAATGTTTAGGAAACCAGCCAGCACTTGAGAGAACTATTGTCAGCTAGCAAGGCCCTCCCCATGTGGCATCTGTAAGGTGTCCATTTCTTTACTGTGGTGCTTAGGATCTTCCCTTCCCTCTTCATGTTCTAGCGATGATAGTGGAGCTGCTGCTTCTGAGCGGCACTGCTTACTCCCGGAGTCAGTGCTGAGGTAGCCTCTCTTATTCCCTTCTGGAGCATTGCAGATTGAGCTGGAGTCTGAGGTGCAGTGGGAAGAACAGTGCTGAAAGGTACAGATTTATCCTTCATGACCCCCAAGATGGTCGTCTGGGGACTTTGTGTTAAGTGGATAAGTGGTCAGTCTCAGGAATGGCATTCCCTTTACACCCAGGTTTTCCTCCTGCCACCTGTGACCTTGCCTAGGTTGTTCTCTGTAACAAGCTTTTAGGAAGAGCAAACGAGGTGACATGTGCATGACGATTAGAACAGCACTTCATAGTGAGTGTTGTTTAGTGGTAGTTATGAAACGACTCCTCAGTTGAGTGTTTGCCTTCACACTAGCTGAAGAGGGAAACTCAAATGAGCCTTGGGATTTTTAAGTATGGCTTTATAGAGTTGGTGACTTTTTCACCCTTTAGCTAAGAATGTTATAAAGCTTGTGTACAGAGAAACATAAAGATTGAAAATCCTAGCACATGTGTGTGAGTTTTGTTGGGATGTGAGCATGAACTTAGCAGCTTTGCTGTCTGGTTTGTCACAGGGGCATAAGGAAATGGTGGCAAGCGCTTCCTCCTAACAAGAAGGAGCTGTTTAAAGACAGTGTGAAGAAGAATAAATGGAAGTTGCTCCTTGGTCTGAGTGCCTCTGGACTGCTGTTCGTAGTGTTTTATTTCACTCACCTGGAAGTGAGCCCTGTGACCGGAAGGAGCAAACTGTTGTTACTGGGGAAGGAACACTTCAGACTTCTGTCAGACCTGGAATACAAAGTGGTAAGTAGCAAGAACTGTCCTTAACTAGATTGCCTAAGGTAGCACCAAACAGGAGGCTTCTTTAAATACTGAAGATGCACTGCTTTTCTTTTCAGTTTTTGATATAACACGCACATTTTTTCCCCAGGTCTCATACCTGGGAAAGTCTTTGCACCATGTGCATATTGGCTTTTCTCCTCCCAGCCGGGTAGCCCCCGCTCTGCTCAAGTCTGAATTTCACTGTCTCCTGCTCAGGAAAGCCTGGCTTGATGCCCAGACTGGCTCAAACAGGTGACTAGATCAGGCTGAGCTGGGAACTGGATTTTGTGATTGTGCTCCATACTCCTAGAACTCAGTCTTAATGGGAAGATAGGTTGAGAAAAATATTTAGAAAGATTGGAACAAACCTTGTATGAAATTGGTATATCTTCTACCATTCATAGAGCTTAAAAATTTACAATATATATATATATATAAATATATGAATGGATTTGTATATGTGTATATTCTGTATATACATATGGATATAAGTGTTTGTATGATTAGACATTTTTATTGCTTAATCTATTGGTCTGTGAATCCAAACATTCTTATAGAGATGTTATAAAGTTCTCTTAATTACCTAGTGTGCAGATTAGCATTGTCAACTTGACAAAGCTAGAATCATCCGAGAGATGAAGGAGCTGCAATTGAGAAAATGCCTGTATATAAATATAAATATATGCCAAGTTGATAACCTTTTTCAAGGTGCACTTAAATCCATGCTTTCATAGAAAATGAACTTAAAAGACTGTATCATTTACCATTTTTAAAGAGTAATCCAACAGTGCAAGGATGTCCCTCCCTCCCACATCAGTCATCAGTCACAACAGTGAATCACAGGCTTGCCTATGGGCCACTCTTACACAGGCATTTTCTCAGTTGAGGCTCCTTCGTCTCTTGGATGATTTCTAGTTTGTGTCATCAAGTTGACAACACTAGTTTGCACACTATGTAATTAGAGAACTTTATAACAGCTCTATGAGAATGTTTGGATTCACAGACTGATAGCTCAAGCAATAAAAATGTCTAATCATACAAACACACATACATATATACAGATCCATATGTATACATATAGTATATACATATATACAAATCCATTCATATATTCATGTATTTTTATGGAAATTAAATATTTGTAGAATATCCTTAATATTCTTAGTATATATGACAGAATCTCTCAGAAAAATGTTTTCATATTTGAGATGGCTAGCCTTTGAATCAGCATCACATAAAGAAAATGATTTGCCCATTAGTTCTGAGATCTTAGTAATTTTCTTTCAGTGTGCGTGGATCAAACGCTTTACAATTAGTGAGATATTATCTCTTTTTGTAAAAGCCTAAGTCTATATTATGAATAGGTTGTTCTTTCATTTAGTGGATTATGAAAGTAATTTTCTTTTACATTCTCTTTCTTTTTTTTCCCCCCTGAGACTGGGTTTCTTGTATCCCAGACTGGCCTTGAACTTATTGTGCAGCAGACAACGTCCTTCTAATCATCCTGGTTCCACCTCTCCAGCCTTCAGATTACAAGGATGTGTAACCACACTGGGTTTATGCTGTGCTGAGGGTTGAACTCAGACTTTGCATATATATGAGAGTGACCACTCTGCCAACTGAGCTACATCCCCAGCCATGGGTTTTTCTATTTTGTGTGAAGTTTTTAATGTGAATCCTTGTTATCTAGGCAGCTTTGTTTTCTGAAATTCTTAAGAAGGCAGAAATATTTAAGCATTTTACTTGCATGTAGATTAAAAGAAAAGAGGAATAAAATTTGGATTCAATCATGTTTTTATGTAAAAATCTTGTAACTTATTCCTTTGTGAGAAACTATACTGCTTTTATGTAGTTAATTCACATTTCAGAAATATGAATGCTTAATATATATAAGTTTTTGCACAATTCAAAATTAAAATGCTGAACACTAGTCAAATGAAGCACTTCCCATGAAGCAGCATAAGCATTTTGTAGTACAAAACTCCTAAACATTGCTTTTTACAAAATCTTGTAGTGGATGGAAGAATTTAAAAACGACATGCTGCCTGAAAGAGACCCCCGGTACCTGACTGTTAAAGAAGTGGTGTATCATCTAACACAATGCAATCAGGATGTCCCAGGGATCTCTGAGATCAACTGGGTGATTCATGTGGTTGATTCCCCAGATGTAAATGCCTTTGTTCTTCCAGTAAGTAGATACTTTAAAATACATTTTTGTGGCAAGCTTTAACATCTTTAAACTTTACTGTGGGCTAATTGCTTATATTACTCTTTTTATGTACAGAACGGACAAGTGTTTGTTTTCACTGGGCTTTTGAATAGTGTAACCGATACTCACCAGCTCTCCTTCCTTCTGGGCCATGAGATTGCACATGCGGTCCTGGGGCACGCTGTGAGTACCCACGTGACGTGCAGCTGTTGAATGTTGCTTTGATATTAGCAAGTTGTAGCCTTTAAGGAACCCACTCTTTTCAGGGTTTTCTTTTCTTTTAATGATGGAATGTAATTGCCTTATTCTGTACCTGAAAAAAAAGTGATTAGCTAGTTTTGAGACTTTTGCAGTCTTTAGTATATGATACTGAATAATTAGTGTTTCTCTTAAATACTGTTTTATCACCTGTCTCTTTTGCTAAAAAGTAATTTGCCTCAACCTCTAATTATTTCACATTAAAATTTAAACTTCCATAATTATTAACATACTTGTAATCTAGTCAGAAAATTAATTGTTGGAAAGTGATACTGCTATTTAAGTGGTAAGTCAGTTTTATTTTTCCTCCTTTTCAGAAGATGGCTTGGAATATTGTTGAGAAATGTCTAAATGATACGCAATACGGTCTGAATGTGGAGCAGTAATGATACCTTGCCAGAATAGTTTACCGAGCTTCATCTAATATGTTCCTTCTCATTCAGAGCTTCAGTAAATTATGAGTGTGTATTTATCACCCCTGGTTTATATATTAGGAAACTAACATTTAAAAGACTAACAGTGGCCACATAGGTCTTTAATAACACAAAGCATATTTTTGTACTCATTTTTGATTGCTATTCATTAAAAATGAAATGTGAATGGGTCTTTTGTGCATATAAATAGAGATAAGTATTTTTTTAATTTTTAACTGGAATATGTAGGTAAATATCTGTCAAAGGATTACAATATGCTAAATCATAAGTGCAAATGTTATTAACTTCAAATGGAAACTATAATGTTCATTAATCTTTGTCAAAGTCATTTAAAATTCTACCTATTCTTTAAAGAAATAATAAAATGAGCTGGGCCAAAGTTGTTCTTTTTTGAAGTATCCCTGATTTCTTTTGAGCTACATGAAAAAAATTTAAAAATATTTTCCCTAAATACTTACAAAAATAAATCTGAGCAATAGAAATAGTATCATTATAGTGTATTCCACCAGCTTTCAAATAATGATATCAATGCATCAGTGATTCCTTAATGAATGAGACAGAAACTTTCTCTTGAGTTAGTTTGACAAAGTGTAAGCCCTGATTTGATTTCTCCACTTCTCTCCCTGTGTCTTCCATCTGCCTGTGGCATTTATGTGTGTGATGTATCTGTCCCTGTTGCCTGTATCTGTGTGTGTATGTTTGAATCTGTGTCTGTGTCTCTGTTTATGCCTGTCTCTAACAAAAGACTTTGCTCTGTGTTTATTGAACAGCACAGAAAACATGATAATCTTTAAGCAGAAATCTTTAATGGTTTTACAAGGGGAAAGGTGACTTTACTGACACCATCTGACCCAGAATAGCACCCAATATTGCAAGTAGGTGCTGCCAACGTTCATCTATGTGTTACTTCCAATAGTTATGGGAAATATGTTGTTTAAGGTTGTTTTCAGCCTGTTGGCTGCTAGCAGGACGTGATTGCCACAACACACACACACACACACACACACACACACACACACACACACACACACACAGAGTTCTGGGTCAGGGCATGGAAAAGATTAAAGCTATACATTAGCTTACGTTGTAAAAGCTGATTACATTAGAAATCCAAGGCATAGTAAGGTTGGTTACATTGTTTCTTTTTTAATTTTTTTTTATTTGAATTAGAAACAAGATTGATTTACATGACAATCCCAGTTCCCTTCTCCCTCCTGTCCTCCCCTACC